CAGTGCCGCTTGAAACTTAAGGAGCTCAGACAAGCATACCGGAAAACCAAAGAATCAAACAGATGCTCCGGGACAGAGCCCCAGACATGCCACTTCTACACTGAGCTGCATGCAATTCTAGGGGGAGCCACCACCACTACCCCACCCCTGTCTGTGGACTCCGATGATGGGGAACTCTCCGCCATGCCTGAGGATTTTGAGGACGGGGAAGATGAGGAGGAGGACAAGCTTGAAAAGAGCACACAGCACACCATTCTCCCCGACAGCCAGGATCTTTTTATCACCCTGACTGAAATACCTTCCCAATGCAACGAAGCTGGAGAAGGGACCTCTGGTGAGTGTACCTTTTTAAATATAATACATGTTATAAAAGCAAGCATTTTTTTAATGATTAAATATCCCTGAGGACTTGGGATGCATTCGTGGCCAGTACAGCTACTGGAAAAGTCTGTTAACATGTCTGGGGATGGAGTGGAAATCCTCCAGGGACATCTCCATGAAGCTCTCCAGGAGGTACTCTAAAAGCCTTTGCGGAAGGTTTCTGGGGAAAGCAGCCTTATTCCGTCCTCCATGGTAGGACACTTTACCACGCCATGCTAGTAGCAAGTAATCTGGTATCATTGCATGACAAAGCCTGGCAGCGTATGGTCCCGGTGTTTGCTGGCATTCAAGCAATATCCGTTCTTTATCTCTCTGTGTTATCCTCGGGAGAGTGATATCGTTCATGGTAACCTGGTTGAAATACTGGAATTTAATTAAGGGGACATTCAGAGGTGGCCGTTCCTACTGGGCTGTTTGCCTGTGGCTGAAAAGAAATCCTCCCCGCAGTTAGCCAAACAGTGAGGGGGGGGGCTTTGGTGCTGAGCTGTTTGCGTTTGGCTAGCAGTGATCTTCCCTGATACCAGCCACGCGGTGGGGGGAGGGGTAAAGTGATCATCCCAGAGAATTGGATGGGTAGGGGGGTTAGTTTGGTTTCTGCTGCTGCACATTAACATGAAAACTGCAGCACTAAATGGCCAACTCAACATGCTTTGCTTGGTATGGGAGAGGAGGGCGCTGCTGTTATGAAGGTTGCAGAAGCCGAAAGACTATGGTTTACCGTGGCCGCCTGCAAGCCAAAGTCTGTTGCCCGGCACTGCATGTGTGATCTCTAACACCAAAGCCACAGGCACTCAATATAAGATGCAAAATACGACCTTGTACTGAAATCACATGTGCTATGTAATGTGAATAGTGTTGTTCACCATGAAAGAGTATAGCCATTGTTCTGTAAAATGTATCTTTTAAAATACTTCACTCCCTTTTTTTCCTCCCGCAGCTGCAAATGTTTCAAGCCTCCCTCCTCCGTCCCAAAGGCTATCTCAGATAAGGCGGCGAATAAAACGCACGCGTGATGAAATGTACAGGAAAGTGGCCAATGAACGTTAGGAGAGGTGGCAGCAGGAAGATCAGAGGAGGCATGAGGCAATGCTGGGGCGACTGCGGGATCAAATGGACATGCTCTGGCATCTGGTGAAGGTTCATGAACTACAGCAGGATCACAGACTGCTGCTGCAGCCCCTGTTTAACTGCCCTCCCTCCTCCCCAAGTTCCATAGTCTCCTAACCCAGATGCCCAAGAACGCGGGGGCGGAGGCTCCAGACACCCAACCACTCCACCCCAGTGGACAGCCCAAGCAACAGAAGGCTGTCATTCAACAAGTTTTGAAGTGGCCTTTTCCTTCCCTCCTACCCTCCTCCCACACCCCACCCAGGCTACCTTGTGAGTTATCTCCCTATTTTTATAACCAATTAATAAAGAATACATGTTTTTTAAATGATAGTGACTTTATTTCCTTTGCAAGCAAGTTGTGATCAAAGGGGGAGGGTGAGTGGCTTACAGGGAATTTAGAGGCAACCAAGGGAGCAGGTTTTAATCAAGGAGAAACAAACAGAAGTGTCACACAGTACCCCGGCCAGTCATGAAACTGGTTTTCAAAGCTTCTCTGATGCGCAGCACTTCCTGCTGTGCTCTTCTAACCGCGCTGGTGTCTGGCTGCGCGTATTCAGCGGCCAGGCGATTTGCCTCAACCTCCCACCCCATCATAAACATCTCCCCCTTACTCTCACAGAGATTGTGGAGCATGCAGCAAGCAGCAATAACAATGGGAATATGGGTTTCACTGAGGTCTGAGCGAGTCAGTAAACTGCGCCAGCGACCCTTTAAACGTCCAAATGCACACTCTACCACCATTCTGCACTTGCTCAGCCTGTAGTTGAACAGCTCCTTACTACTGTCCAGGGTTCCTGTGTACGGCTTCATGAGCCATGGCATTAAGGGGTAGGCTGGGTCCCCAAGGATAACTATAGGAATTTCAATATCCCCAACAGTTATTTTCTGGTCTGGGAAGTAAATCCCTTCCTGCAGCTGTTGGAACAGACCAGAGTTCCTGAAGACGTGAGCGTCATGAACCTTTCCCGGCCAACCCATGTTGATGTTGGTGAAACGTCCCTTGTGATCGACCAGTGCTTGCAGCAACATTGAAAAGTACCCCTTGCGATTTATGTACTGGCTGCCCTGGTGGTCCGGTCCCAAGATAGGGATATGTGTTCTGTCTATAGCCCCACCACAGTTAGGGAATCCCATTGCAGCAAAGCCATCCACTATAACTTGCACATTTCTCAGACTCACTACCTTTGATAGCCGCAGCTCAATGATTGCATTGGCTACTTGAATCACAGCAACCCCCACAGTAGATTTGCCCACTCCAAATTGATTCCCGACTGACCGGTAGCTGTCTGGCGTTGCAAGCTTCTGCAGGGCTATTACTCGCTTGTGAACTGTGAAGGCTGCTCTCATCTTGGTATTCTTGCGCTTCAGGGCAGGGGAAAGCAAGTCACAAAGATCCATGAAAGTGCCCTTACGCATGCGAAAATTTCGGAGACACAGGGAATCATCCCAAACCCGCAACACTGTGCGGTCCAACCACTCTGTGCTTGTTTCCCATGCCCAGAATCGGCGTTCCACGGCATGAGCCTGCCCCAGTAACACCATGATCTCCAAATTGCTGAGGACTGCGGTTTTAGACAAATCTGTGTTCATGTCCTCATCACCGAGCTTCTGTCGCCTCCTTGCCTGGTTTTTCAGGTGCTGGTTCTGCATAAACTGCACGATAATGCGTGAGGTGTTTACAATGGTCATAACTGCTGCGGTGAGCTGAACGGGCTCCATGCTTGCTGTGCTATGGCGTCTGCTTGGGCAATCCAGGGAAAAGGGCATAAGATGATTGTCTGCTGTTGCTTTCACGGAGGGAGGGAGGGTTGACTGATGACATTTACCCATAACCATCCGCGACAAATTTTTGGCCCCATCAGGCATTGGGAGCTCAGCCCAGAATTCCAATGAGCAGCAGGGACTGCGGGAACTGTGGGATAGCTACCCACAGTGCACCACTCGGAATGTCGACGCTTGCCACGGTACTGTGGACACACACCGCTGAATTAATGTGCTTAGCATGGATGCATGCACTCGGCTTTATACAATCTGTTCCCAAAAATCGACTTCTGTAAAATCGGAGTACTTTCGTAGTGTAGACATGGCCTAAGTAGCCTCAGTGAAGCATTTGGACAGCTTCTTGAGAAAGGACTATTCTCAGTAAGTGCCCAGTCAAGAAACATTTAACTGACAATGGACTTTGGGAGATGCCAATCCACATCTGAGCTGGGAACATTCAAACTAACATGTAAACAATGGCGTCAGCTTGTAAAAAGCTGACTCATTCATGGACATGTGACTTGCCCAGGTGGCTAAAAACTCCATCTTGTTGCTGTGACTTTGCACAGAAGAACAAAAGGGTTTCCACCCACAAGAGAGAGAATATAAAAGGCCCTGGAAGCCTCTCCATTTTGTCTTCTTCTGGCTCAAGAGATGGCCTCTCCACCCCAAAGAGATGCCTGAAAGAAACTGGAACAAAGGTCTGTAACTACGGGAGTGTCAGTGATTACTGGACCCAGACCATAAGCCACAATGTTGATCTGAAAAGGATTGGGCCCAGAGTAGCAAGGAGTCTAGTCTGTGAGAGAAGCTTATTGGGACATCTCTGAGGGTGAGATTTACCTGTATTCAGTTTCCTACTGTATTAGGCTTAGACTTGCGTGTTTTGTTTTATTTTGTTTGGTAACTTACTTTGTTCTGTCTGTTATTACCTGGAACCACTTAAATCCTACTTTTTATATTTAATAAAATCACTTTTGCTTATTAATTAACCCAGAGTAAGTAATTAATACCTGGGGGAGCAAACAGCTGTGTATATCTCTCTATCAGTGTTATAGGGGGCGGACAATTTGAGTTTACCCTGTATAAGCTTTAAACACAGTAAAACAGATTTATTTGGGGTTTGGATCCCATTGGGAGGTGGATGTCTGGGTGCTAGAGACAGGAGCACTTGCTAAGCCATTTTCAGTTAAATCTGTAGCTTTTGGGGCATGGGTCAGACCCTGGGTCCGTGTCGCAGCAGGCTAGCGTGTCTGACTCAACAGGGCATGGTTCTAAAGGCCCAAACTGGCAGGGAAAATGGGCTCAGAGGTAGTCTCGGCACATCAGGTGACAGTCCCAAGGGGGTCTCTGTGACCGAACCCGTCACAGTAGTAAAAAGGAAATGCTATTACTCCTTGCAGAAACAGGTTATAATTTGCATGATGTTTTTCACTCTGTATCAGCTTCAACAAGCCCCAGAGAGACATGTTTTCATCTGTCCATAACAATGCAGCAGCCTCCAAGGGCTCCTATCAGATTTGTGTAAGGGTTCCTATTTCTGACTTAAGTGGCCTGTTCCTGTCGGGGATTGTCTGTCACTGGACCACAGCGACAGACTGACACGTGTTTGCGTCTTTGCTTGTGAATGGAGCCCTGTGCTTTTCGCAGCTACAGCAGCAGGCATGTGAGATCAGTTCTATTCTGGTGATAATGGGCTGTTTCCCTGGCCCTGCCATACCCTGCATGTGTAGTTGTCTGTAGCCTTTCTCTGACTCACAGTGGAAAACCAGTGCACACCTATGTGTTCCATGACAGACACACCCACTCTATCACAAATATTGAGTGACTCCCTGAGCAGTAGCAATAAAGGATTCCAACAAAGGTAAGATTCGTGGCTGAGATGGTGGTGTGTGCAAGTGAAGGGACTATCTTTATCTGAAGGAATATTTTTTTTCTGTTGCTGTTGCCCTCAATGGGAGCTGTATTTGTTGTTTATTTGATGGCTTTTTCCCTAGTTCGACCCCTCCCCTTCCATCTTTTTGGGGGAGGCTCTGGATTGTCATCTCCCCCTGACTTTGGAAAGCAGTCCACTCAGGTGGACGCTCTTGGTATGGCAATGGGGAGCCCCGGGGTTCTCTTTCCTTCCTCACTCTTTCCACCTCCTGCTCCCAAGGTTTGTTTTTTAGGGGGCATGGTAGCTGGCTCCGCTCCCTGCTGGGAGACTGGCAGACTCTGCTCCCCACCAAAATGCCTGAGATTTTATTGGACTCCAGCTGTGCTGTCCAGTGTGGCATGTTGTCCTCCTTGTGTTTACTATTGATTATGTACTTAGCCTTCAGGCTGCCATGGCTGGGAGAGAGGCGAGTGAGTGAGCATGAGGGAAAAGCTTGCTTGCTTTCTCACAGAAGTTTTCTGGAGCCTCGTTTTTCTCCAGTTCACTACTCCTGATGTCAGCGGTTAATAAATATGGGCTGAGATAAGAGCATATCCTGGAGGGTCAGAGACAAATCTGGTTGAAAACAAGGTTGTGCCCATCCTTACTTGAGCTGGGCAAATAGAACAAAGTAGTCATGAATGTTCTTGTGACTAATGTCTGCCCATGGACTTCACTGGTGATTGGGATCTGTTTTATTCACACACATGTAGGTGAACTGGCTTTGACTCCCCAATCTGCTCACAGAACAGAAGCTGTCATGCGTACCAACATGAATAAATAGGCATGAGAGTATTCACACTGGCCGTGCTTTCATGGCCATTTTGAGGAGCTCTTTTTCCAAGCTGCACAGTAGACTCCTCACAGTTACGTATGTTCACAGATAACTGGCGACCAGAAAAGGAGATTCCATCTGCTCACAAAACATAAGGCATCCAATCAGGGAACATATATTCTATCATGTGACTTAAATGATCCATTGCTTGGTGTGAACAATGCCTAAGGAATAAAATAATCTCAGCAAGCAGTTCACAAATACTCCATATGCTAAAATTTGTCCACACAAACTATTTGTCAACCCATTGTGAATAACAATCACATCTGTAAACGTTCAACCTGTTCATGGATAATCCAGGAACAGAAAAAGAGACTGTTTGTCAGATAATTTATCTGCAGTGAATGATTTAACCAGCTTTAATCATATGTGACAGCAACTTGGAGTGTGCTGTTTTGGTCAATACATTTGAATTAGTCTCTTCTGCTAGGGGGTGGGTCTGTCATGTCACTATACCAAGGTTCAAGGATGGTCTGTGTTATTTCTTTGCTCATCCTGTGACCAGCAGCAACATCCTCTCCCCTCACCCCAGTCCACAGACATGCCCATAGCTCCCTAGAATAGCCTGCATTTCTGTTTATATGAGCATGTATCGTGCAGAATCGTAAAAAGTAGAGCTAGAAAAGAGCTGTTAAGTGAGATATACATCATCTACCTCTGGTCATTTGCAGTGTTCTCCTTAGTGAATATTTCCTAGTGTTTTATCTGGTCAAATTTTGTATGCCTGGAGTGCTAGGGTTTGTTACACAGTGCAATAGAATTGTGTTGTCAGTGAGCTTTCCTTTCAGATATTCAGCCAAAATGTTTCATTTTTGACCAGATCAACAATATTTACAATAGGGGCAGGGAATAACCTAGACAAATGCAAGCTATTCAATCGGGGCTGCGGGGGGGGGGGGGGGGAGGGGGAGTAATCTGAAATGGATCTTCAATGGGAGGGCAATAGCTGGAAAGCAGTAATGCTGAATGAGAGCTGTGTGGAGTGGACAGCAAACTCGCAATCTGATATGCTAGCAAACCCCCCCTCCCAACAGATTCTGGACTATGGATCAGTATGTAGAGGACTGCATTACTGGGGGGAAGATGAGTCTGTCCCTGAGATAACACAGCACCTCACATACCGGCTTCAGTGGTGGGTGCCAAATAGCCATTGATAAAGTGGGAGGAACTGAGCAAAGAACAACTAAAATGATTAATGGGTCTGGCACGATTTTCTCTCTCTCTCTGCAGGTTAAATAACTGAAGGCTGTGCACAATGTTTAGGCCCCACTCTTTAAGAAAACATTTTTCCCAGCAGTCAAGTACATGCTTAAAGGCTTTCCTGATCTGGGGCTACAGCTTGGCCAAGTGATGATAAAGTGGGTGGCATGTTAACTACAGTATCTGAAGAGTGTAAACACTGATATAATGCAGCGCCTGTGGGCGGGTGGGTTGTCGACAGCAGGGATCTAACCAGTGACCCCTGGATATATTAAAATCATGAGCTTCCACTTCCTGAACTGAAAGACCCAGCAGACTCTTAAATGCCTGCCAGTGCCAGCCATCCCCTAGAAGGGAAAGAGAGCCAGGCTACATAAGTATGGGTGACACCAAGAAGGGATAGGGGTGAGGAATGCAGTAGAACTTGAAGAAATATGATGAAAGTGAGTGAAGGTGCGTTAGAATATTGGGAGGAAAACACCCCTACTGCTGAGGACTTTGAGCCTTTCCAGTAAAATAGTGGATGCTCCATTACTGAAGTCATTTAAAACTGGATTGGACATAGCAAGAAGACCAACAAGATAATGAAACTAGGTGTGTTTTTATGTATTTTACTGGGAGCAGCAATGACTGCTGTAATGTTAAGGTTGTGTAGTAGTTTTCATTCTAGCCCCGCATTTTCAGGTGCTCAGAACTAACTGAAACTTCCATTTTTCAGGCTGTAATTTCCCAGGGTTGGTCTCTGTTGGAATGTGCATTTTTCTGGAAAGTTTGAGGAAATGTGCTTCAGAATGAGGAGAGTGGTATAAATACTTTCTCCTTCATCCACAAAATTCTTGCAACTCTTTTAACAGCCTTGCAACCCAAAAGCAGCTGAGAACAGAAAGTTGAAACTTGGCAGGGAAATAGGTGCTCACAAAAGAGAAGTGCCTTGGCTTGCCCCAGGAAAGTTGGTTTTGGTTTGGCCTCATTTTGATTTCTCTCAAGTCATACTGAGCATGTACAATATTTTTTGCTAAGCTCAAAGTGCAAAGCTGAAGAAGGTTTTGCTGCGTTAGTGGTTGGGATCACTGCATAATGACAAGTCTAGGAAAGTGTACTATGGACTTTGCAAGACACAAGGAGGAGCCCTGGCCTTACTCCTGTGGCCCTTGTAAGGAGCAAAGAGATGGAGAGTGTACTTTGCAAGGCGGACAGGAGAGCACACTGCTCTGATACACTTAAAGAGCTGCAGCTGCTAACGCTCACAGGCGAGGCACTCTCTGCTCAGGTGTTCACAGGATAGGACCCTTTTCCTGGGCTTATAAGGGGCAAGGCATTAGGGGCATGGGACAGAACTCTTGAGTCTAGCCAACTAGGCCCAGATCCTCAAAGTAGTTAGGCAGCTAACTCCCAGGGAATTGGTGCTTAAATACCTTTTAGGCTCTGGGTCATAGTTCCCAAGTCTGGCATTTATATGCATTATGGGTAACTTTGTGTAGGAGTGTTAAAGTCCTGGAGAATGACATGGGAGATTACTAGCCTTACAGTAGATGGTCTTGAAGCTTTATACACATGGATCCCACTGTAGGTGAATGGCTAGCAGATGGGCAATAGGAAATATGTAAATAACTGTAGACAGCCCTCTCAAACCGCGCATCTGCTCTAGAAGCTGCCTTAATAGAACAGCGATTGGTAAACGTATGAACTAAACTACAAGTAGCTGCCCTACAGATCTCAGAAATAAGGCTAGCAGAAAGTCTCTAGCCTGAGAGGGAAGAGGTAGTTTGTTGAATGCAGTCTGTAACCCTTTTTGAGAGTCTTTGAGGGGAAATAGCCTGTCCCGTAGACTTATCACCAAAAGGTGAAGTCTGGATGATTTACGATATGGATTTGTTCTGGAAAGATAGTCATAGGTAGCCCTGAGAATGTTTAGTGTGTAGAGATTAGTCTCTGTAGCAGAGTCATGAGCTTTAGGAAAAAATGACTGGTAAATGCATAGATTGATCTATAGAAAAATCCCAGACCACTTCTGATTTAATAATAACAACAACTTTGGATGTGGCCTGACAGTAATCCTATCTTTCTGAAAAATGGTATCCAGAGCACTTGCCATCAAAACCTGCATTTCACTTACCCTGCAAGCTGAGGAGATGGTGACCAAAAAAAAAAAGAAGCCATTTTAACAGAGGGGAGATATAGTGAACCTGATGTAAAGGGTTAAAAAGGAAGGGTGTATTAAAGATAGGGGCACTATAGTCAAGTCCCAGGTAGGGAATGGCTCTTTAACTGGTAGAATGTATGAAGTGGGCTCACTAAGAACATAGACTGTTAAGTGGGGGAAAATTGTAGGGTGGGGGATATGCAGACACCGTGGTAAGATTAACTCCAACATTATTAATCAAGAGTCCTGAGTTTCAATGACAATAAATAATCCAAAATAGAAGGACTAGAAGAATCCAGGGGCTGAATGTATCACAGTGAAAATCATTTCCACTCATCGTGGTATGTCATCCTAGTAGAGGCTCTTCTGCTCTGGACTGTAATTTCCTGTATAGCCATTCTATCCACAGCCACTGGATGAGCCAAGAAGGACTGTCGAGAAGGCTCTGAGTGCTTGAGGAAAGCAGGAGGTCTCTTTGAGCCAGAAGACCTCTTAGCCCCAAAAGGGGTGTCTCTTGTAGCCAGAGCATTCATTGAAACTGGTTTTTAAGTAGAAGACTGCTTCTGAGGAGTAATGCTGGCATCAGAGATACTGTGCATTGTCTTCTCCATCAGAAATAACTGTAACTGGGCCTCTCAAGTCCTCTATGGGTGCTTAGAATATAAGAACGGCCCTACTGGGTCAGACCAAAGGTCGATCTAGCCCAGTATCCTGTCTTCTGACTGTGGCCAATGCCAGGTGCCCCAGAGGGAATGACCAGAACAGATACTT